CACGTGCGCGCAAAATGACCTCCGTTCCGCAAATCTACATAACATGTCTACTGACCCTAAAAAGGTTTTACCTAAGTCGGATGTGTAGTTTACAAGATCACTCCCGGACAAAAAAGTACCCAGGAAGAAGAAGAAGAAGAAGAAAAATAATAACTAGTGCTAATTGTAACGGGGACCGTTACAGATGTTCCCCAAACGCTCCCCAACTCCTTTTTGGTGCCATATTCCCTGTAAGCTTCATTAAATAAGACAAACTCTGTGCATTTTTGACTTTAACAACGTTTTCTCAGAAGGATACCAATTATATTCAAATTTTAGCATTGCACCCGTGCACATGTGAATGCATGTGCGTTATGATCATATCATCTTGTCTACACTATCTACATATCTTAATATACAATATATTAAAGCATTCAGTCCAAAAGTATGAAAAATCACTCTTTCAAGCGTATTTTTCATTTCACTCGTTCCAAATGCACGCAGGTGCGTGCACGTTCATGATGACCATACCTTCTTGTAGGAGTCCCTTATATCTATCTATATTCTAAATCCCATCCTGTTTGGTTGAAAAACAAGGAAGTTATAGCCATTTCAAGTTTAAGCCAATCAGATTGCAGCACACGTGCATGCGCTTGATATCATGATTTTTTTCTACATCATATTGTACTATATCCTAATGCATGACTATGTTTTAAATTTCAAAGCATTTCGTCAAAAAACAAAGGAGATATAGCCATTTAAAGTTTCAGCCAATCAGATTGCAGCACGCGGGCATGCGCATCCTTTCATGAAAATTCTTATATATCACGCTGTAGATCTTCATAATGTAGGTCTATGTTCAAAATTTCAAAGGATTATGACAAGAAACAAGAAAGATATTTAGACTTTAGTTTCAGCCAATCAGAGCGAAGCGCACGTGCATGCGCGTGAGATCTTACTTTTTTGACCATGTCATTTTGTCTATCCTTCTAATATATACTTGTAATATGAATTTCAAAGCATTTCATCAATAATTTAAATAGTTACGTCTGTATCAATTATATTGGACATTTCTCGTGTTGCACGTGCGAGCTCTTGCAAGCACATGTGCATGCACATGCTTTCATGATAAATCGTATATTACAGACTGTAGATCTCCCTAATGTATGGCTATGTTCAAAATTTCAAATGATTTTATCAAAAATCAAAAAAGATATTGAGACTTTAGTTTCAGCCAATCAAAGCGAAGTGCACGTGCATGCGCGTGCGATCTTGCTATTTTGACCATATCATCTTGTGCATACTACTAATATATCCTTACATTATAAGTTTCAAAACATTTCGTCACAAAATAGAAAAGTTACGGTTATATCCATTATATATTGGTCATTTTAAGTTTTGCACGTGCGCGCTCTTGCAAGCACGTGCGCGCAAAATGACCTTGATTCCGCAAATCTACATAACATGCCTACTTACCCTAAAAAGGTTTCACTTAAGTCGGATGTGTAGTTTACAAGATCACTCGCGGAAAAGATTTTCCCAGGAAGAAAAATAATAATAATAATAACTAGTGCTAATTGTAACGGGGACCGTTACAGATGTTCCCCAAACGCTCCCCAACTCCCTTTTGGTGCCATATTCCCTGTAAGCTTCATTAAATAACACAAACTCTATGCATTTGAGACTTAAACAACGTTTACCCAGAAATGTAGCATGCTCATTCAAATTTTAGCATTGCATGTGTGCGCATGTGAATCATGTACATAATGACCATATCATGTTGTCTACACAATCTATATATTTCAATATACTAAATATTAAAGTATTTAATCCAAAAGTATTTAAAAAATTCGCTCATTCAAGTGTATTCTTGATTTTGCTCATTTCACGTGCACGCACGTGCATTCATGAGCATGGTGACCATACCTTCTTGAAGAGGCTATTCTTCTATCTATGTTCTAAATCCCATCCCGTTTGGTTGAAAACCAAAGGAGTTATAGCTGTTTAAAGTTTCAGCCAATCAGATTGCAGCGCACATACACGCATGTGTAGGCCTGTGCATGGTGACCATACCTTCGTGAAGTGGTCCATTACATCTATCTATGTTCCAAATCCCATCCTGTTTGGTTGAAAACCAAGGGAGTTATAACTGTTTAAAGTTTCAGCCAATCAAATTGCAGCTCACATACACGCACGTGTATGCATGTGCATGGTGACCATACTTTCTTGTAGAAGTCCATTTTATATATCTATGTTCCAAATCCCATCCTGTTTGGTTGTAAACCAAGGGAGTTATAGCTATTTAAAGTTTCAGCCAATCAGATTGCAGCGCACGTGCATGCACGTGTTTTCATGATAATTTCTATATATCTTGCTGTAGGATATCTTAATGCTTGGCTATGTTCAAAATTTCAAAGGATTTCGTCAAAAAACAAGAAAGATATTGAGACTTTCGTTTCAGCCAATCAGAGCATAGCGCACGTGCATGCGCGTGAGATCTTGCTATTTTGACCATGTCATCTTGTCTATATTACTAATATATCCTTACATTATAAGTTTCAAAGCATTTCATCAAAAATTTAAAAAGTTACGCCTATATCAATGAAATCGGTCATTTCACGTGTTGCACGTGCGCGCTCTTGCAAGCACGTGCGCGCAAAATGACCTTTGTTCGGCAAATCTACATAACATGTCTACTGACCCTAAAAACATTTTACCTTAGTCGGATGTGTAGTTTACAAGATCACTCGCGGACAAAATTTTCCCAGGAAGAAAAATAATAAGAACTAGAGCCGAGCTCGTTGCAAAGCAACGAGTAGGTCTTCCGTCCTGTTTGACCGGAAATAACTTTGATTTAAAAAAATAAAGAGTAATGAAGTCCCAAAATGGTTTAATCCTCCACATCTATGTAAATTATTGCAAAATTAAGCCATTTTTGGCAACTTCCGGTTTGACCGGAAGTGACGTCGACGGACAGAAAACTAAGATTTTAGCTTCCAGTGACATATGATATCCAAAAACCTGTCAAGAGCAGCAAAAATATGCAATTTTTGACTACTTCCGGTTTGACCGGAAGTGACGTCGCCGGACGTATTTTGACGACGCCTTTAGATAAAGCTTGATATTTTGAACAACTTTGCTTCTTTGACGTATTATAAATTCTCAATATTTTTTGAGATATAAAGGAAAAACTTTCGGCCCCTTTTGGCCCTTTATTATAGGGGCCAGCCCCTTATCGTTGATAACTTTCGAAAGATCGTGACATTCTTCACAACTTTTGTTCTATATGTCTTTACAAAATATTAACGTGTAAAAAGTTATTGCCAAAAATGTGTGAAAAATTTCTAAATTCCCGACTGGTCTTTTTTCGAGCCGTAGCGAGCGCCGACTAATGCATTCCGGAGAATAAGAAAGGTGTGTGTCACATCAGCACATATTGCTCTATCACCGCTGAAAATCTTACCTTTCTATCTAAAAGCACTTTTGAGAAAAATGCTGGACAATGTCACCCTCTGAAAATCACCAAATCACGGAAATCTCGAAACCGGAAGTGACGTCATAAAAATGAAAAATTATATATCAGGTTTGATTGATGTTCCATCAGTCCTAAAAGTTTCATGATAATCGATCGAGCCGTTTTCGAGAAATCGCGTGCACAAAATCGGTAAGAAAAAAAACAATAATAAAAATAATAAAAATAGTGGAAAAGAAACCTAAGAATAACAAGAAGGTCTTCCGCTGAAGACGGAAGACCTTAATAATAATAATAAGAAACAGAGTAAAAACAATATGTTCCCCAACTTCGTTTGGGGAACATAATAACTAGGAGACTTATTGTTCAAAGAACAATAAGAGGTCTTTCCACCTTCTTTGAATTTCAAATTTGTTTCATATCTGACTCCTAAAAATTAAATTCCATGAAAAAGAAATGAAAACTCTCTTAAACCATAGAAAAAATGAAAATTTAAAAAAAAAAAAAAAGAATGACCTTGACATTTGACCTTGACAAATATTCAAGGTCAAAGGTCAAGGGTCACAGTGCAATTGAACCCATGCTTCTATGACTTAAAGTTTTCAAGTTATAAGGTTTAAAAGTTAGTACAAAGAAGTAAAGGGCAATAACTCATATAAGGGGTCATCAGATGCTTTTGCACTTTTACATTGAAGTTAGGCCTAAAGACCCTGAGGACATTAGTGAAGGTTTGGTGTCTCTACGGTCTACGGTTTGGGAGGAGTAGCGATAACAAGGTTTTTTGCACAAGGGGAAATAACTTTTAAAGGGGTTAATGTAAGGGGACAAGAAGGAAAACTTTGAAACAGTTTTAAGAGTACATACTAATGATGCATAGACATTACATATATGTTGAAAGACAAAAGAGATATAAAAAGAGCTAAATTTCTCATTTCTGGAATGACCTTGACCTTTGACCTTTACTTGAATTTTAAGGTCAAAAATCAATGAATCTGATGCAGTTGGTCCCATGTCTCTACAACTTGTCGTTTTAAAAAGAATTAATTATTTGTTAGAATCAAAAAGTTTCAGGGGCAATAACTCATTGAAGGGGTCACCGAATGCTTTCGCAATGAATAGATTGAAGAGTCCCCTTTATTAGTCAAAGACATTGGTGAAGGTTTCATACCTCTATGGTTTACGGTTTCGAAGGAGTAGCGATAACAAGCATTTCTTTCGAAAGGGGCAATAACTTCGAAAGCGGTCAAGGTTCATTTACGCAGGGTGAACTGCAATAATCTTTTATGGAGTACATTCTTATGGACTATAAATCTTTTCGATAAATCTTGAAACAAAAAATCACACGGCGGAAAAATAATAAAAAAGAAGAAACAGAAGGAAATCAATAGGTCTTTCCACAGAAAGGTGGAAAGACCTAATAAGAAACAGAGTAAAAACAATATGTTCCCCAACTTCGTTTGGGGAACATAATTACGTATTTTTTTCTTTTCATTTCACAGAATATGTCATAGACGTAGCATTTACTTGTCAAGTGTCTATATTTTTATTTTGCTCCTGTCTCAGAAAAACAAAGTGTTGATTCCACCTGGCATTACTGTTATCTGAAGTCACCTGACTTACTATATCGGCGTAGACGGAAATACTACCAGGAACTAAGAAAGGCAAGTACGGTACAGGACTTAATATTTTGAAACTACTTTTTAAATTTTTTATGGCCAAAAGCATATTCTCTTTCTGATCATGTGGGGCCTGTGTTTTTTATTATGTTAATTCTTCCATAAAAAATTTATCACTGGAGAAATATCTCATTGTTTTCTAATAACTAAATGGTATTTTCAAAAATATTTTTAACATATCATTGACATATGAATTATCTTCCATTCTCTGCCACAAATACGTGTTCCGTATGATATATAGTACACTATATGAAGGTTATATTTTTGGCGGTCGGGATATATATGATTATGGTCAGTTCCTGATATTGTTATAGAAGCTATGATGACATCATTATTCCTATCTGTGGCTCTAAGTATTTTCTGGATGAGTTTCTCTACATGTACCAGGGCACTAAATATACCAGGTAAGACTTGTATATAATTTTGTACAAATTAGCTATACATGTATGTTGACCATTTCATTTTTCATTTTTAGTTATAGAAATTGCTATGATGACATCATTAAAGTTCCAAAAATATCTGTTTTGGCAAACGCTCAACAAAAATAAGTTTTATTATTAAAATAAACATTAGGAATGACTTTGAAAACTTCATCAAAGATCTGTCATTAGCGAAGGATTTTTGATAATCGCTGACTACACCAGGTAAGAGGAATAGGGTACAGAGACTATACCTGTGTGTGTTTACATTTAGCTGCGGACCGTGGTATTAGGATTGAAAAACTCACTGACAGTGTCTTATCATTTATATTAATAGTTTTAAAATAATTTTTTCATCAGAATATAAACGTGATTCATGTAAGAAATCCATTCTACTCTGTAAATGAGCCCGGCTCTCTGTACTTCTGAGTACTTTGATTTTTCTCTCGAGATGATTAATAAGACTAGGTGTCATTCACGTGTAGGGAAAACATAAACACAACATTGTTTTTTTTCAACCATAAACCTCTTTTACAAGTATCAGAAAGGAGTTAATATATTAGTAGGTTACATATCTTTACTCTGTCCTATATTATTTTAGAGTTATGTAGAGAAATGTTAGACCCCCCCTCCGAATGTTGGTTTTTATACTATGATAGTCAGTTACTGTAAATAAAATAAAATTTATTTTTGTCTCAGTTGCCATAACCAAGACATGGAATGGTTCGGATATAAATCACCCTCCAGTTCGACTAGTCCTGGCACACGCTACTGACGGGCTGGAGATTCGGGTCCACGCCCCCTTTTTTAATGACCCTGGTAACCCTGGGGGACAACCTGGACAACCATTTGATGGTCTCTGGGACTATGAAGGTAAAATTCTCAAAGCGATTTTAACTTTTCATCTGATTTAAGACAGACGCGGATTTGACTCGCGTGGGTTATAATCTAGATATGTTCCAGCTAGGATCTGTAAGTGCGATTTCTTCATCAACAAAAATCTTTATTTTTAAATTAAACACATTTTTTTGGATGATCAGAAATACATAATTTTGTATATAATTTTTCAATCATATACAAACTTACATTCTTTTGTTTTCCAGTGGTAGAAGCCTTCTTCCTGAATGATCAAAACCAGTATGTGGAAATAGAATTGTGTCCGTGAGTAAAATTTACTGCAAAGCTTTTAATTTCCCTTTTTTTTTTTAAAAAAAAGAAAGATTTTTTTTGGTATTTAGCATTAGGGCCTAGATATTTTGTAAAACTGTGTCAAAATCATATTGCACACACTGTGAATCTTTATTAGCCATATTCATTGCAACCTCTTAAACTTCTTTGTAAGACAGTCACCAATTTGGATGAAACTTTGCTGATTATGTAAGTAAGTGGTAATCAAAGTTACACATGGACTGCATTTTTAAGGCTGAAAATGCTGGAAAACGCTTTAATATCTACTAATGGTAGATGTTGCATGACCAAACGCAATCAACAACTAAAAAAAACCCAGTAATTTAATAAAAAATATTTGATCTTAGATGTCTCAGTATTAGCAATATTATCCTAAAAAACATTCATGGTTACACAGTACAACCAGATAACTTTGCCCATAACTTTTGATTGGTTGGAGCTTTGACTTTCATATTTCACAAGTTTATTTTTTGTAAGTCAACAAGACCTTTCTTTATTTATTTGAATTTTTTGACCTTGAATTTGGAGTTTGATCCACTTTTTTAAAACAATTACCAAACTTTCACTCTGCTTTATCCAAGGCCTTAACATTTTGAACAGTAAGGTCTAGGGGTTTCATGCTTCATGTGTATTCACTTTGACAAAACCTTTCCTTGGGTGTAAATATTTTCACCTCGACAAAGAGTTTAATCCACTTTTAGAAAATCCATTGGTCAGGTTCCTGTGGTTTACACTAGTGAATTTTTCGGGTTTATTTTTTATCAGACATGGCCAACATCTGGTGTTGTTACTCAAAGGTTACAGAGACAGCTTCAAGGTGAGTTGTGGCTTGACTTTCTAAAGGATCAGAATATGAGAAAAATACACTTTAATGCAGCACATTCGGGCCATTAACAAAAATATATATAATTGAGTAATATACACAAAAAAGTGTTATAAAACAATAATGTCATGCTTTTACTATCATGATTGTTTTATTGTAGAGCCAGCTTCCACTGCAGTTTTCTTCATCAATAAAGAACCAGACGTGGACAGGGACCGCCTTGGTACCGGCTTCTTACTTTCCACCGAAGGTTACAAAGTTCAACGCGTACGCAATCCACGGATCAGGAGCAGAACGAACGTATGAAGCCTTGTATCCAGCTGTTGGAAATTATACCGATCCCGATTTGTAAGTTATTTTAAATTTCTAGAGTGATGGAATATTTGCTTAGAATATATACATGTATGGTAACTGTTCTTAGAAAATACTTTGCATAATGATCAAACACAATGAATATATTCTCTATTTTTAAATAATCTTTATTTATAAGAATGAATTTGCCCTATGAATCCTCTTATTTGTTTGTACTTTGCGAATAAATGTAAGAAGTACAATGTACATGTTTTGTTTCTCTATTGCAGTCACAGACTTGAATGTTTCCAAAGAATTGACTTGAAAAAGCTTGTTCCTCAAAACTGGGCCTATAACTACAGCTCAAAAGAATGGAATCCAGTATTACAAATCGTTGGTTAAATAGGGATGTATTTTTATTAACATGTGAGCATAATATGATCAGTGTAGAAGATCAGCAATTTTCACCAATTATCAGTTAAAAGTTGCTGAAAGGTTCCTCCATATTCCTATATAAATGACTCAATAATTCTCCTACAGTGCAACTTCACCGATATACTTACTATCCCGTTTGATAATGATCTTTTGTATATACATTTGATATCATAGATTCATTGCTTTTATTTCCTTGGATCAAACAGCTTTTAAAAGTGGTGTCATTTTATGACTATTGTACGTCATATTTAACTTTATTTTGTCAAAAATATCCTTAATTAGTGGTTTGTTATTTTACAACTAATTCCAGGCTACCAAAAGTTTGTTTTTTTGGAAAGCAATTAGATGGAACATTCCTGCAAGTCAAAAATGTTTTTTTAAAGTAAAAAAAAAAACAATTACATTTGAATTTCCATTTAAAACTACGTATATAAAATTTCACGGATGATAAATTACAATATTATCCATTATCAAATAATGAATTTTACTTTATTTATTATTTATAATAGTAAATAATCTTTATTTATTTATTTTTTGATATTTCAAAGCCAATCTGCGAATCATCTATCCCTCTGTTTTAACCAAATCATAGGTAATAAAATAAGACTACATTAACAATATGTTATGGTTCCCGCCCACAAGGTTTAATAATGTAGCAATATCGTTTTTATATGAAATATATGGAGATACTATAACATTCAAGCTTAAAAGTCTATTAATTCTAACCAGAATCAGAGTAAACACGGGCCTCTAAATCATCATATAAGTGTAGCCAGGTGCCATGGAGGAGTGAGCATCCCCTGTCGACCGGTCACACCAGTCGTGTTCTCCTTGTCATGATCGGGGAATAACGAAAAATCTGTTGACAATTCATTTGTAAATAAAATATTTGGAGATAACGAACAGTATTCGAGCTCAAAAATCCATTTAACATAAACAAGAAAAGGAGCAGAGCAAACCCTCCAAATCATCAGAGGTGGGATCAGGTATTATGGAGGAGTGAGCATCCCCTGCAGACCGGTCACACCCACCGTGTGCTCCTTGTCATGATCAGAAAATAACGGAAAAAATCCGTCGTCAATTCAATATGTAAATAATGGACTAACAATTCGTATGAAAAAGTCAGTCAGCATTTGACTTAATGATAAATTGTATTTGCTGACAAGGTCGTTGTATCGACCATAGAACCTACGAAATGATGACTTTAAACTAGACTGCTGATATTCTTGTTTCATCACTTGCTTGTCAATAATTTACCTCGTTTTAGAAATTGTTCATAAGAGCACGCTCATGCGTATCGAATCAACTGAGATATATAAACTCCGTATTCAGGTGTTGAAGGTATATTGCTACATAAGTAAGGGAAGTTGACGAGAGAAAAGTTAAAGTCATCACGTTTATCATATAGCTTGGTTGTTGCAAGTAAAATATCCAAGTATGAAACAGATTCATCAGACTCTGAGTAATTAGCTCAAGCTCTCCAGGATATATCGAATCGACGTAGGAATGGAAATTACCATTGTTAATTGACGATATATCTAAATGTCGAGTTGAAGGCCACAGCATGTGTTTTCTTTTCACGCATAAGATTTTGCACAAATTCTGCTTCATATGAATACAAAAATAGGTCTGCCAATAACGGAGTGCAATTGGTACCCATGGGAATTCCAATAGATTGTTGTTAGACCTGGTCTCCAAAAACCACATAGATATTGTCAACCAGAAACTCAAGCATCTTTTTGATATCAACTTCAGAGTACTTGTGTGTGCAATTAGAATGTGTTTTAACAAAATAATTTTGCAAATGACCAATGACCAGGTAGGTAAGTTTTTAAGCTGTTGATTTTGATAAAATCTTGTGATTTCAAATTGTCCAAAAGTTTTTTGGCATTTTTAAGTATCCACATCTGATTCACACCACTTCTTGAATATATTGTTGAACAGTACTATTGAAGTTTTTCTTTCACTTCTTTAATATCTTAGTGAGGAGTAATGAAAGAGGCTTGGTTGAACATTTACTGGAACCCGAAATGTATCTTTGTTTGTAAGGATTTTTATGAAGTTTCTGAATTCAATATATATAGGGTAGTTCAAATTTATTTTGGCTCTGTGGAATATTAAAAATATTCAAAACTGATAAATGATTTTGAAGAATTTCTTTCTAAGAAAGGGAAGTATGAGTATCAGTAGGATCTGTATTTAGAAGAACTTGGTTTTAATTCCACCACAGGAAATCAAACTTACGTTCGCAATTGTTCAAAATCACATTTCAAAATTCAAAACATCACATTTAAGTCAAACAAAATGAGTTTTATCTACCCTACCTATAGTGGGTTCCTAAACTTAATTAAGAAGTCCGCTCAAAGAGATATACATTGCAGAATCAAGCAAATGCTCTTCCTAGCCCCCGAAACTTTACTCATAACTAAACTACTCCTGTCAAAGAGAAACTGTGCTACAGTACATTCTAGAAGGCTAGAAGCGTTGTAAATCAGATGTGGATTTAAAAAAAAATCAAAAGAACTTTTAGAGTAACATTAAAACTTGTGAATTTTCTACTCCTGATACAATTATTCCCCACGATCAATAATTAAGACTATTCGATATCTTAAACAACTGCTTTCTTCAATAAAAACTTAATTTGGAAATTTTATTATCTTGTGATTAGTCATAAACAAAATTACTTTGTTAAAGATCACTCTGATTCTACATATAAGTACTCTGAAGTTGATATAAAAGGATGCCGGAGTTCCTCTCAAGTCTTGCAAAAAACTTAAATTTCCGACAGGTTCTATAATTGTGCTCCAGCATTGGCCGTCTTGTTTTGATATTCCTACAAAGCAGATTTTATTTAAAAAAAAACATCTACATGAAATGAAGAAGAAAACATTTGCTGCAGCCTGCAACACAACATTGCATCGTCGATACATCATAATGCTGTTTTGCACGCTGCAGCAGTTATTAATTGACAATAGTATATCTACAAAAAACTCTACAAAGACTAGTATGAAGCATTATCCTCCTTCATATTCATTTTCTTCCTCACCCCACAACTATAGTCCTGCTGGACTCCTTATTACCAGTGACGTACATTTTCGTATTCTGCACCTTTTCACCTATCCAAATGCTCAGAATGAGTCCGGTGTATGTTCGTGTTCTGTTGTCTATTTTTTACCTTAAAGTTTTACCTTACGAAATCCCTTGTTGTGCACCATTTTCAAGGGAAATAACTTGACAGAAACTTGAAGTGAAATAAGACATTTAGACCTTTACAAATGCCCTTCTCTATGGAACGCCGTAACTGCCTTATAGCAGAACACTTCTATTGCATTGTGTCAACCTTCCATTACATTATGTCAACTCTTTATGACATTAACCCAAACTACTATTGCATTGTGTCAACCTTCCATTACATTATGTCAACTCTTTATGACATTAAAAAAAACTACTATTGCATTGTGTCAAATTACATTATGTCAACTCTTTATGACATTAACCCACACTATTATTGCATCGTGTTAACTTTCCTTTACATTATGTCAACTCTTTATGACATTTACACATACTACAATTATATTTCGTCAACTTGCATTTCGTTATGTTTACTTTTCATGATAACTTAGTTTTTATTAACTGATGTGAAAAGCATGCCATATGCTGTCGATTCACTATTACGTTATGCAACACGGCCTCGGCTTTTATATGAGCATAACGTATTTTCCGCGTTCCGCAAGCACTAAAAATGGCGGGAGAAAAACTGTCGTACAGAGATTTGGGAATGTCATCTTTAAATGAAAACTTTAAGCGACAAATGATTGACGTGCAAAGCCTTAACACTGCGACTGTGAATTAAAGTCACGTCGAAATTCAGTGGTGTTTACTTTAATCTCATAATTAAATAAATCAAATATTATGAGTCGTGCAGCAATCATTTTTTTCTTTTTATTTTGATTCTTTTTTTTTAATAAAAGTCTTAAACTTTGAAGGACATTGCATTAGTTTCACAATAAGCTTAGCTGAATTAAGTTGAAAACTTTTTTCTATAAAACTATAAAGCCTAGAGCTTCGCTTTCCGCTTGTTTCAAGATTCCCATATTTGCCACTGATATGTGTCCATGCATGCTTACTAAGCATATTCAATTGATTTAGATGAGTGACTGGTAGATTTTTGTAATAGAATTCTGGGCCTGGAATGATTAAAAAAATTTACTAACTCCAGTGACGTAGCATCTTTTTTTGAAAGAGGAGGTCAGCCAGAAAAAAAATAATTTACCCGAAAAAAACTTGACAAGCTAAAAAAAAAGTCCAAGCCCGAAAATCCTATTTCGGGAGAGGGGTCCAATTTCGGTGTATTTTTTCCAGATATATTACAATACCCTTAGTGGATTATACTTCAACAAAAAGTGGGGGTGGGGGCTAGAGTTTCAATGAACATAACATTTTCTATAGTAAAATTATGTCTGGGAAAAGAGGGGGGGTTTTTTGCCTGTAATTTGTCCTCATCAATAGGACCCCCCCCCCCCTTCTTACCAGTCATTAAATCACGGTCGTCAACATTCATTATATACTAGATATACAGCTTTGAGATAATGTAAATGTTTTTTAACATCAGGTAATGAACTTTTGGAATCAACATGATAAAGAGTTAACACAATATAGAGATATTTTTAAATCACATAAGAAAGAGTTGACATAACGTAATTATATATCCACATCACGGAATGGAGTTTTGACATAATGTAATAAAGTATTGATATAATATAAAGATATGTTCACATTATGTTATACACTTTTTACACCACGTAATAAAGCACTGACATAAAGGTAAGATGTGTTCACCTCATATCATGATGCCCTCGTCGTAAAATAAAGATAAATCCATATCACGTAATAATGCTTTGATATAATAGAAATATACACTCTCAAAAAGGAATAGGCTTTTGACTTCGTAAGTTTTATTATAAAACACAATTTACTTGACGTAATGCATTTTTGACCTCACATATTAAAGAAATGAAATGATGTAAAGAAAAATTCATTTCACAATAAGTTTTAACACAATGTAAACACATTATCACTTCACATAATGAATTTTTTACTTCAAGTTATGAAGTGCTGACATAATGAAAGAATGTATTTAATTCATGTAATGCAGCATTGACATGATGTTAAGATATATTTACATCACCTCATAAAAAATGGACATAACGTAAAGATATGTTCACATCACATAATGATAAATTGACATAATAGATGCATAGTTGTATGCTATAAGGCAGTGATGGCGTTCCATACTTCTCTATGTTCTTTAAAGTTTTTGGGTTTGTTTGATATAAAGCAGAGGCCAAGTTGTTTTTTTTTTTCTTTTTTTTTTTTTCGATTTTTGACGTATCATTTTTTATAGTAAAACATAGCAGTACTTTTCGGCTATTGTTTATTATTCAAATTTCTTTAACATTAACTATTTTTTGTTATTATAATCACTTACACAACAAGTATCTTGGAAACAGCTGCTTTAGCAACAATAGGTTACTTTTGGATTAATTCAATATACATTTGCACTTTAAAAGCAGGATATGGAGGGTAAGTTTACAGACTATATACTGCACTTTCCGAATCTAATATACTATTTAACTTCATCAATTTGCAGTTCGATTCGTCGATGAATACAAATTGATCGTATGTAAAGCACATTGTTCGATTTAGCTGTCACGTCTGTATTTGAAATGCTCCTGGGCTGCTATAAATAACGTCAAGGCAGATGTTACAGGTCAAGATCGACATATAGTATGGGGCAATTTAGCATCTTCAAAATTGACCTTTTCTAATTTTAAGCGAAGCAATTGTTTTTGAAAAGTTACATTTTAAAAGATTCTCGAAAAAAAAAATCTCATTGGTATATGCATTATTTTTGTATGCATAATTAGCTCTTCAAATGAACAGCAAAAGGGTTTTGATGTAAATCTGTACGACCCAGACGATTTTAAGCATAATTCTGCATGTGTTTAAGACATAAATTCATTCTGAATTTTTCTGTCTCTAATGGTTTGAAATACAATCCTCTTAAATTTCCATGTTCATCTTAAATTAAGTTTCTCTTAAATATCCGTGTTTATTCAGAAAATAATAGTCAAATAAATTAACATGAATATTCTTAGGGTTAAATGATTACGACATTGTTCTTAGCATAACGCCAATCATCTGTTTTGTAAAGGGGATACGAGCTCTGGTAACGTTGCTGTTCATGTTTACGTTTTACCGGATGTTTCGATTTGTTTACCCTGCACACATCACTGAGCATGTGACAATACTGGTGAGTTGGTTTTGCTACGTTTCACCGGGTGTGTTCGATTTGTTTACTCTGCACACATCACTTAGCATGCTTTGACAATACTGGTGAGCTGGTTTCTACTTTTTTTTTTGGATTATACAAATGTACTTTTAATATTTTCATCAATACATTACAAGATTTATATTTTAGCTAAATATGAAGGATATTAAAGTTAAATAAGAAAAAAGTTACAGGATTCATTAAATTCATAGTTTAATATATCTCCAGACAAAAGATGTTTCTACACTGTAAGCGAGCGTTTAGTATTTTCTTCGTGAAATATAAGTAATGATAAATTGAACATTTTAGAAATTTTTAGCATCAAATCTGTGTCCATGCCCCTTTTAAAAATTAAAAGAAAACTATAAGAAAGTGCATTTATGAATGAGAAGCTTATTGATAAATGCATATAAAAACAAGATTAGAAGTAAGATCAATTATTATCATGCAGTATAATTTATTTATAAACCTGCATAAGATCGATAGGTCGTAGAATTGCCAAGTTGTGTAATATACTAAAAAAGAAATAATTATTCAAAAATCAGAATGAAAGGTATTACTAAGAATAATTATATTTGATGTACATTAATTGTTTATCAAATAAAATACTTTCTATGTTGTCAAGAAAGTTTATCCAACAAAAATAAATGAATTCTGACAACTTTTGTTTACTTAATTAAATCCCCCCCCTAAAAAAATCATTAGAAATGTCGAAGAAAAATCATAGGAATTGTTTTTAATAATACACAATCGATTTTAAAACATTTTGAAATAATAATGAAAAAAGGTTATGTAAAAAGTATCATAGCAAAAGTGTTTTCTTGAGCTGTAAAATTTAAGTCGACATCCATTAGATATATAAGAAAAAGATGAAACATTACGACTTTTTTGGAAAACGGACTTTAACAATCTACAACCGATTCATTTTGCTGCTAGAAAATTTCCGCTTGGAGGCTTCACAGATGACGTTAATTCACGCTACATTAAGTATGCATGTAATTATGTCAATTGAAATATACTGTTTTCTTCCCAATATATTTGCAAAAACCAGAAGACGCTAAATGATGTTACGATTAGCACATGTAATAATAATTGTTACTATATGTACATGTGTTGTTTTCGCCTTGACGCAGAGAAAAGAGGGGTCGAGGCGAAACCCAAACAGGAAGAGAGGTAAGTCTCCCGTACTTAAGTATATATAGGCCTAATTATGTCAAACGGGCATTTTATGCTACAAAAAGAGATTTACAAAAAGCTGCATTCTGGAACTTTGAGATAAATTTCTTTAGATAAGCACATGTATAATTTAAACAATAACTTATTAGGTCATGAGAGTAAATGAATGCTCAATAAATGTTGAAGAAACAAATATAGGATTTGATAAAAACATCTGTGTATACTGATGAAATAGCAAAGCTAAAATGTTCATTATAAAAATTTATAATTATCAGAATTGCAACTGCGAGTGGGATTCAGTGCAAAGAAAATCTTGAAATAAATTCAACCGCAGCATAACAATCATTTCATGTAATTTGTCAAAACATTTTACACTAGATATTTGTTCTTTTTCCCTGGTGGAGAGCTAAGAAAAACAATGATGAAGTATTGCCTTACGAATTTTAATATAATGGATTACATTTTAATGTATGAGAAAAATAATCCCTAAAGCTTCAAGTAAATGTGCTGCAAAAACCTACAGAGACGCAAAGGTATAAAGTAAATCTGTAATCAATGTACTTTTCAAGTTTTCCATTTTGATTCCCGAAAAAAAATGTCAAGGGTTAACTCTTCATAAAACTAGTAGTCGTAATAAAAATAAATTTTAAAAAAGACATTTCTAGATTTTCAGTAGGAGTGAAGAATTTCGTTGATGTCATACATTTAACTTGTCTCCACCTTGGGGTTTGAAAACTGAACCGAAGGTACATAAAATTTACAATAACTACTCATTAATTTCACAGAGATCTAGTCTTATGTATACTGAGGGATATTTCAGTTGTAGAATATCACCATCTTAGTCCCATTTATTTGGCATCATTCTTGAATTCACATTCTATATTAAGGGTCAAGACAGTAAGTGATCATACTGTAATAATCATGCAGTTTGCTGGATAAGGTAGTTTTGAAAATTGCATCATTTTTGATGAGTCATTTCAGGCCTTTAGACCAAGAAATTCGCAATCATTGTTTCCCTCAATTTTAATAAGAAAAGATGTTGACGAATAGCTAATTAAAAATATTATTTTTAAGACCAGTCCATGACCAGTCGGTCTTTGAAAACGACTTGGAGAGGTACACTTAAGTGTCTCAAATCATTTTTGAACATTGGTTCATCTGCATATATTCTTTGAGCATGGACACTGACCCTGGCTTACAATGTAATTTCTGCAATGAGTTTATCTGAAAATAATATGAGGCAACCACACCATTCTCAACCCTAAATAAATATGTTTAAACAGAGTTTTGCGGGACTTTGATAGCATGACACTACATGTATGTCAAGGTTTTTTGTTGAAAACTTTACTCACACTAAAACACAGCCCTGAAATCAACACTTTTTAGACACATTCATTGGAATTCTAAATGACCTCTAAAAATCCCTTCAAATGCTTTCAATTTTAGATATGTACATGTATTTGCACAATTTCATCGAAGACTTTCTTATAATAACTTTTTGTGCATATTATATACTAGTAAATTATTCTTATTCGATACTTTCAGCTGATACTATATGTCTAAACTGTGAGGAGAACTCGTGTGACAACACCACTGGAATTTGTGAACGATGTCTGAGAGGGTACTACGGCGAGACATGTGGAGACACCTGTCCAAACACGTGCCCTGAGTGTGACCAGTATACCGGTCAGTGTATATCATGCAGGGACGGCTGGTTCGGCCCTCACTGCTTCTTCAAATGCGTTCTCTGTTTTTCTTGCCATATCGTCACCGGTGAATGCACTACCTGTAAACCGAAAAAATGGGGACCGTTTTGTCAACAAGATTGTGATCGGAACTGCTACATATGTCAGGCAGCAAATGGAAAATGCGTTCAGTGTGCGCCGGGATATTACGGGAGAAGCTGTGAAAAGCGATGTATGAACTGTTTTAGAGGTCTTTGTCGACCAAGAACAGGGGTATGCCATTTTGGTTGTAAGGCTGGATTTTATGGTAGATTTTGTCAGAAGGATTGTCCTTCAAACTGCAGACTGTGCGACAAAAACAGTGGAAAATGCATACAAAAGAGACCAGAATTTGCTCGAAAAATCCAACAACCAGAAATCAGGACGGATAAATTACAGACATCGATTTCTATTGATAAAGAAAAGCAATCAAGCTCAAAAAACAACGGATCTATCCCGGAAACTACTCCAAAATCATCCAACAAGGTGTCTCAAACGAGAAAAGAAAACGTGATAAAAGAAAATGGTCAGAAATTACAAACGAATATACCAGAAACCAAAAGCGAGGCGAATTTATCAACTTCTACATCAACTCCTAAAGTTGAACTTAGTTCTACTGTTTCAACAAATGAAACACTTACGACTTCGAAGTCGATGTCGTGAGCGTTTGAAAACACAATACCAAACACTGTTGTTCCTAGGTCTGACTAAGCAATAAATCCCAAATGTTGAGATACGGTATTTCAATTGGTAAACATGGTTACAAAATGTAATTCTTTCGTCATTATTTAACTGCAGTTAGTTAGTTAAAAAAATAAAATTTGAACAATTCTTTGTCTTCTCTTTATATAAGAATATTTCCATTTCTAATTTTTTTTCTCTGTGATAACTGTTTAAAAGTTGGGGGAATTTATTTCTTGATAATTCTGCCGGAATGTAAATTAGGCAGGTCGATAGGTCAGCAGCTAAGGAGGCCTAATACGCATGCAAATCTCGTGCGCATCTGTCTCTGTGTTTGACGCTAAGGAGGCCAAATATGCAGGTAAATCTCGTGCGGCTGCCTTTGTGTTTGACGTCAGTGTGCGAGGACTATTGAAATTGGCACGGAAGTCCTCGTGTAATTTAAATCGATTAGTCTACATTTTTCATGTCTAAGTCTACAATTTTATTTCACAATGAAATGGAAATATAAGGAATCACTGTCTAGTTTTGAGAGTATGCCAGGGACATCAACAATAGTGGGAAACATGGGATAATTTAAGCATAACGGGCTTCGCCCGTTATGCAAATTATTCCATGTTTCCCACTGTTGTTGATGCCCTGGCATACTCTCAAAACTAGACAGTGATTCCTTAAATATAAATTATATATCACTTGGTCTGCTTGTCCAGTTCATAAGCTGGAAATGAGGGTTTGATTTTACTAAGCATGCGCACTGATTGTCACAATCCACTGTCCACACCTTTTCAATAGGATAACATGTTGCAAAGCTGATCTCCTGAAGTATGATAATACATAAATCCTTAAAATACAAAATAATATTAATTTGGTATAACAATTATAGTACTGATGTTGAGTGTCTTCTAAATTCATTAACAGTATTGCATACTATCTACACAAACTTAAATCTTTCATTTCGTATAATTTTTTTACCATTTTCTGTTCAATATTCATACCTGGTAACACCTTTCACAAGTTGACCATGATAGATGGAGGATTGATATATGTCAACTTTTTAGCTCGTCTGAGTTGAATGTTCGAGTGAGCTTTTCTGATCATCAATTGTCCGTCGATCGTAGCTAGATTCCAAATTGATAAAATCATGAAGTGCCACATAGGGAATCCAAGTTTTACATTGAAATATATAGGAAGAATCTTTGAAAATATTCTTCCAGAAAAACTGAAATTTATGTGGAAACTTCCTGGGATAGTGTAGATTATAAATTGTTAAAAATCATGAACCACGGGAGAAGGGCAGTGCCACATAGGGAATCCAAATTTTACATCGAAATCTGTAAGAAAATTCAAGAATCACTGGACCGATGTAAAAACAAACAATGACCTCAGTTTTTAATAGGACGCACACGCGCAGCCCGAAAAAGCTGAAATTTACGTGAAAACATCATGGGGAAGTGTAGATTCTAAATTGTATGAAATCATCACCCTGAGCGTAGAGCGGAGCCAAAATAAGTATGGTAACGTTTTACATTGAAAGATATTGGGAAAATCTTTGAAAATATGATTCTCAAGAACCACTGGGCCATAAAAACTGAAAATTATGTGGAAGCATACTGGGGTAGTCTAGATTCTAAATTGTAATGTACCACCGGGGAGGGGCAGTACCATACAGAGAATACAAAGAATGTTTCCACTTAAGCATAGTGCCGTGGCCCCTTTTTTGGACCCCTCTAACTTTATCAAATTAACTCAAATATTAATAATTTTACACCTTACTCATACTTTGTTATCTTTGTGGTATATTACTTGCAAAAATTCACACTGAAAACGTCGCCTTAGTTTTATAAATGGTAATTAAAAAAACCAAATACTGGGTGTTAATTCCGGAATGTTGCGCTTGTCCGAGTTGGGTTTTAATTGTGTCACATTAATATTCGGAGTAGGCGGGGCATTTCATCGATCGATTGAAAACATGTAATATTTAGCCAGTTATAATGGCTTCTGGAATTTAATACAAAATACAAACTGTATACAGAAAAATAAACACATGGAATTTCTCAAGGGTTACGCATATTTTTTTTAAGGAAAGATGGTACTGGGGAGGATCTTTAAGATATATATGATCCCTATAAATCCAGATCCCCTATTTTGTGGTCGTTTCTCAGTGGAAATTTAACACTTAAATAAACTGAGCCTACTTGTATATGAAAACGGAGGGGATCATATTTAAGAAAACTTCTATATATTCTAAAAGAAATATAGCCGTATCGAAGTTTTAAATCTCTCTCTCTCTCTTTCTCTCTCCGTACTTTTTTATAAAGTACACTTAATACTTCTTACAAATAATGGTGTACGGAATATTTTTTTGCGATGCTGCATAATGTGATATTTTATCACTAAATTAATTTTATTAATTGTATGTGCGATTGTTCTAGTTTTTTTTTTTTTTTTTGGGGGGGGGGGGGGGGGGTTACTAGTAAGAATTCCATGCCAGTGTTAAACAATCTACGACTCCTACCCCGTGTCCTTTTATTTTTTACAGTAAAAACGCTTTGAGGAATGATGCTACTTCGGAGATGGGAGCAAAATCTTTGAAACTTGTTTAGCCTCCAAACGTGCCCCCTAAATCCAAGGACTAAAAATAAACTAACTTTACATTTTGTCCAATTTCATATTCCATCACCCTATTAAAACACTTGACAAAAAAGAGAAATTATTCTATGTTGATTAATTGAAAATGTACATGTACATGTAACGGTCTAAGTTGGACGCCTTTCGAAGGAATGTCAATCGGATCTACAACTACGTGGTTTATTGATTTTTTTTGTATTCACAATGTTACCTGAGTCTACAAATCACGTGGTAAATTGGAATATTAAACAGGTCACAATCAGGTCAATGACATGTAAATACCCGTAAACAGTGAAGAAAACTGTCGGAGTTTTGTACCTTTTTTCAAAAAGTTTACCCCGAGCGCAGGCTTGCCCAAAAATTTCCCTTAGATATGTTGAATTTCCAACAGTTCTACACATTCTGTCCTTTTGAGAAATTTGGGCAAGCATGCGCTCACTATGTATTTAAGCTCTATAAATCGGAATAACTTTGAATAACAATGGAGATTCGTGATTTGCATTGACCCCCCTTACAAAACACAGCCTCGCTCTTTAATTTTACTCACTTTAAATTTCTGCAATTTTGCAAAGTACCGATTAAGACATAGAAAAATTGTTTTATTAACTTCATTAGGCTACTTTCTATACTTTATTTTTGCGCAATTCACCGGGGGCCACTTTTTGTACACTAAGTGCAATCATTCTTTTACATTGACATATAGAGGAAATTTTTTAAAAAATATTCTTCTCAAGAACCATTAGGCCACAAAAGCTTTAACTTACAATGAAGCGCATTGAAGTGGTAAAATTTTCCGTTTGACAGGAACGTTTTGAGCTATCTTTAGAACGATGTTTGTCATCCAATGACACGCCCATTTCTTTAGAAAAGAAAAATCGGTCAAATGCTTCATTCGAATACCTGTAGAACCGGTATTCCATAAATATAATAGCCAATCAAATTGACAGTCTACATCAACACCGATTAAGCACGTGTTCGACCGATACATGTGTTATGGTAACTCCAATAAACATGATAAATTAATAATTATTGACAAATTCGTTGAAATACGTTTTTTACAAAAGCGGGAACTCTCTAACTCTCTCTCTTATAACTTCAAAAATCTCCATTTCGGTGTAACTCGTGTTTCTTGTCAAGAAGAGCGAGGTGTCCTTAAACATTTCAACAAATGTTTCTTTCTCGTTTCCAAAGAAATGGGCGTGTCTTAATGTTATAATTGACGTTCAAAACATGACTCAGAACGTTTCGTCCAATTGTAAAATTTTACCACTTCAGTGCGCTTCATTGTATGTGGAACAACCCGTGCGTAATGAAAATTCTAAGTTGTCAAAATCGTGAACCTCGAGGGTAGGGCTAAGCCAAAATAGTGAATTCAAGTTTTACATTGAAATACAATGAAGCGCATTGAAGTGGTAAAATTTTCCATTTGGACGAAACGTTCTGAGTCATGTTTTGAACGTCAATTATAACATAATGACACGCCCATTTCTTTAGAAACGAGAAAGGAATATTCGTCGTAATGTTTTAGGACACTACACTTCCCGCGACAAGCATCATGAGTTACACTGAAATGAAGATTTCTAAATAAGAAAGAGCTATGTATAGAGTTCTCGCTTATGTAAAACACGCATTGTAACGAATTTGTACATAATTATGATTTTATCATGTTTATTGGAGTTAGCAAAACACATGTATGAGTCGAACACGTGCTTACTCGGTGTTTACGTAGACCGTTAATTTCATTGGCTATTATATTTATGAAATACCTGTTCTACAGGTATTCGATTGAATCATTTGACCGATTTTTCCTTTCTAAAGACATGGGCGTGTCTAAAGATAGCTCAAAACGTTCCATCCAAACAGAAAATTTTACCACTTCAATGCGCTTCATTGTATTGCTTTTCGCAAAGAGTGGGGTGTCCTAAAACATTATGACGAATATTTCTTGTACGTTTCTAAAGAAATGGGCGTGTCATTCTGTGATAACTGATGTTCAAAACATGACTCAGAACGTTCCATCCAAACGGAAAATTTTACCACTTCAGTGTGCTTCATTGTAGATACTATATTGTAAAAACCATGTAACACAGGGGTGGAAGATCGGACCACAAAAGGAAACTTTTACAAGGAAATATATACTATATATGAAAAATCTTTAAAAATATTCATCTCAAGAAATGCTGGGTCAGAAAAGCTGAAACTTATAAGGAATCATCTTGAGGTAGTGTATATTCTAAATTTTTCAAATCATGGCCCCCTGGGGTAGGGCAATAATTGCAATAAACAAGGATCAATTAAAATAATGTTTTTAAGCAGCATAATCTATTTCATTGGCAATGAAAGCCCTACAGTAATTCAATAGCTGTATGTTAAGCCACAGTTTTAGAACATGTTTATGTCCAAGAATGTACATACAATGAAGCGCATTGAAGTGGTAAAATTTTCCGTTTGACTGGAACGTTTTGAGCTATCTATAGAACTATGATTGTCATCCAATGACACGCCCATTTCTATAGAAAGGAAAAATCGGTCAAATGGTTCATTCGAATACCTGTAGAACAGGTATTCCAAAAATATAATAGCCAATCAAATTGACAGTCTACATCAACACCGAGTAAGCACGTGTTCGACCGATACATGTGTTATGGTAACTCCAATAAACATGATAAATTAATAATTATTGACAAATTCTTTGAAATACGTGCTTTACAGAAGCAGGAACTATCTAACTCTCTCTCTTATAACTTTAAAAATCTCCATTTCGGTGTAACTTATGTTGTTTGTCACGAAGAGTGGGGTGTCCTAAACATTTCAACGAATATTTCTTATTCGTTTCTAAAGAAATGGGCGTGTCATTATGTTATAATTGACGTTCAAAACATGACTCAAAACGTTTCATCCAAACAGAAAATTTTACCACTTCAATGCGCTTCATTGTATATAGTTATACTTATTAAATACATTGAGATTTTTTTTTATAACTCAGCTTGGAAGTGAGCAGGATCTGAGAACACACACACTATTGCAACATTTGCTGCCACTGTTGCAAGGAGAAAGTAGCATCCACACACTATGTTAAAAATTCTCCTGACTTGGTATACATCTGCAGTACTATCTACTGGAGTTTGCACATTCTTTTCTTCTTTTGACTCGTCCTCGGAACAATCATCTGCTGCTTTTACGGCTGTCTTTCTTTTCAAGCACAACAGACATCGAGAAAGTCTTTTGCCGGCTCGGGGTAACTCTTCTCTCTTTTGCTCTTTTACGTACAAGTACTGACTGACAACAACACACACCTGTATCAGAGAACTTGTGAGGAGATCAGCAAAGATTTTCACACTCAACACAGGTATCTGTGGTCTTGATGCTTTTGGTAGTGCTTCGCTGAGCATGCTCTGATATACTGCCAAAGACAGGAGAACAGTCACCGAAAAACCCACCCGCTCCCCGGAGTCGTCTGGAAGGAAAAATACCAGAAGGTGGACGAACCCCATCACTGCCGGTGGAACCACAATAGTTACAATGTAAATCGTAGATCGTCGCTCGTACGTCACCTCACCAATAAACACGTCAGATGCCGATGACGTTCCTCTTACCACGAAAGCTTTTGCTGTTTTTAGCTTCCAGGCGCTGCTATCTTTGTAGGCATCTGTTACTAACGTTCTCTCAGTAACTTTTAGTTTGACATCATCAGAAGTATATCCAATGGTTGAAAAAATAATCTGGCACGTCTGCATATCCACTGGGTAATACACAATGCGGATATCGCATGTACTCCAAAACATATCGGAAACTTCCCAAAATGCCCTTCCATCATGAGTATATCTCACAATAAATTCATCCATTCCCAGAGCTGGTTTACTGGATAGTGAAGACATGGTATACAAATCGGGAACCCAAATATCTCCCATTTGAAACAGAACTTTATCAACCCCGTTGAAGTCCGTTGGATTCCACCTGATTCTGTCATCAGTCCAACTGACCTCCAGTTTTGCAGTGATTTTCACTGCCCCGGCGATCTCATCAATGTCCACTAGGTTATCAAGAGTCATCTTCATGGAAACTATTGTCGGTTCACTCTGATTTCTTCCAGGTCGTAATTTTTTATGGTAGACAGTAGTATTTAAGAGGTCCTCGTGAAGAGACATCATATCATCCAATGAATAGGAAAGGACACTTTTAAATGTTATTAAAATGAAAAAGTACACCACAGTTGAGGTATTCATGATGAAACATTGAATTTATTAGACAGAGCTGAATTTTTACTCTCTATTCACAATTTTGAAATCTACAATCATTAACAATATTTTATTGCGATTTTCCCTAACGGTTGATTCTGCATAGTTGGTCAACAATCCAATTAATTTTGTATTGTAACGATTGAAATATCCTATATTAATTATTAAACATTTAAGATTCGTCATCATTTACGACAGCCTGATTGTCTATCGAATTATCAATAAATTATAATCACACTGCCTATGGTGAAGTCATGGTGACCACCATTTGAAAGCGTCTAATGAAAACAGATTTAAAATTTTTCAGACAAATGTGTTTGTTGCTTAACGTCCCTTTAGAGAATTTTTCACTTATATTCGGAGATGCCACAATGACTACTTCCCGATGGAGAGCTGCAAATCTAGACCTATATAGTCGGCACTCTGGATCATTGAGCAGAGTCGCTGAGAGGGATCTTTTTCGTGCCAACAACTGCTGCAATAAGCGATTTCGATTTACACAGTCTCTTCAAAGAACCGATCTCCACGTCCTGCAGTGGGTTCGAACCCACGACGTAAGGATCAAATCCTTATTCCGCGACTTTAGAGAAGACGCTTTAACCACTCGATCCGCCATGGCGGGCAATTTCAGAGTTCAGACTTATGTTATAAAGGAGAATAAATTAACCTTCAAAAAATGAGTTTGTTCTTATTAAGCTTGACCTTTAAGTTTGGTTTGTAAAAAGGGATCCCGGCCAAAATTGAGAAATACAGACACCTCTCTTAATGCTGCCGAAACCTAGAGTTCACTTTTTCTCATAAACTATATTTGAGAACCATTCATTTCACTCACATCAGGTAATGCAATCGAAGATTTCTGTTCGTCCCTTGTCTGTCTATTTGTCTGCAAAAACTTTCATTAGCCATAACTTTTGAATTAATTTTTGCTAAGGTTTTCGACTTTCACCTGTGTGTTCCTTGTGACGACTTTTCTGTTGGTATAAACAATCAGTCTGACATCGATCATGACTGTAGACTTTGAACTTCTTTTGAAAAACTTCAACAATCTTTAACCGTAGTTATAACTATTTAACGGTTAGTGCCATGGGCGGATCAAGAAGGGGAGGGGGACTGGAAACTCTCCACCCACCCCTGGAAATTCGCCTTCATCTCAGGAGTGCTGAGAGTTTCATTGGAGTTTGTTCGAAAATTTCATAACAGCCGTAAAAGTGTCCAAGTGCGAAAAAGGAGAAAATTTCAATAATTTCTAAATAAAGATGCCCCATTTTTAACGTGTTTAAGGTAGAGTTTTTAACAGTGGCGGATCCAGAAGTTCATGTGGGGGGGTTTTGAGGCCCAAAGGGCCGAAGGGGGAGGGCATGAGAGGGGGTGTCCCCCTCCCCCAAGAAAATTTTGTTTTTAATGGTTCTAAATGGTGCATTTTTCAGCATTTTTGGGGTACTTTTTGTAACTTTTTTAAAATTGTTAAATCTGCCAATTTTAGGAATGCAAGCAGTTGACTTCAAGTTGTCTTAAAATGCACCTAAATTAATTTAGTCCTATGTCAAGCTGACTTCCAAGATACAACTAATGTGCAAAATTTTTAAACACTAAAAAAAATTAAAAATTGAATTATTTTCAGAATCCCTGACTAGTGCTTTTCAACTTACTTGAGTATATACTGTCAATATGATTTGGAATATAAACACACGTGTTCAATTAATGAAATTTCAAACTGAAGAAAAAAATTACATAAACTGGAGAATCTGTCAAAACTAGAGGGGTTTGCTAAGCCAACCTGGTTTTGTTAAAAAAATATATATATAAATTTTAATTTTTAAAACGGTAAAAAAAAACTAAATAATAGTTTATTCATAGTTTTAAAAAACATACATTTTATCAGCAAAAGAATATTACTGAGCAGCACCGTAACTATGCAGTTTTCTGTTGTTGGTAAAATTATGTATATGACCTTATGCAACAAAATGATGAAATGACACTTGTAAAAAAAAAAAATTCAAAATGGGGGGGGGTTCAAGATGCCGCCACTGTTTAAAGAACCCATCTTTTTATGACGAAGTATGATATTGATGATATAATCCATCAATTAACTTTAGTTCACAAAGATATTGTCACAAACTGAAGAAGTAAATCATTGACCTGTTATGTAAAGTACTAGGCCTACTTGATATTTTCATAGACCTAATAGGCCTATACTGATGAATCGATACTTTTTCCGGAAAGTCTCAAGTTTTTCCTAACGCTTCTAAATTTACGGTGCCGTCTTTCATTTCCGGGAAAAAAATGAGTCGGTTTGCTTTCCGAAATCGTCCAAGAAAGTTATCTAAGGCCATGGGCCACGATTTGGGTCCTCCTGGAAGGGAACTTCGTTTGCAGAAAACTATTTCCATGCTTCTCCGTTTTCAGAGAATAGAGGGGAGCTGGGGAGTAATCAATGAAACCAGAGAGTACACAGAGGCTGTAAGTTATGTTCGAATTTCCTCGTCATTTTTTCAGAGGTTGATCTGATAAAAAAAATTATGCATTTTTCCACTGGCGGATTCAAGGGGGGCGCCCCCCCCTAAAATTTTCAAGGTAAATACCAATACCACTATTATTGTGTCTGGTTTTATCAGGTCCAGTACAATCACTAGATTTAGCTACATAGCTTGATTTACCTACTTAGCTTTATTTACCTACCTCAGGTAGCTTTATTTAGCTACCAAATCAATTTATTTCTATAAAAAAAAAACATTTTTCTCAGGGTGTGCAGAAAATATCATTTTGATGTAGTGATCATTTTCAACTTTGAACTCGTCAGAAAACAATTCATGAAAAAATCACTCTTGAAGAAATGTCTTTTTTTGTGCAATTGCAATCAAAGTTCTGAAAGTTTTGGGGCTATGTATGATAGGGCTGTGCAATATTACCGGTATATCGGTATATTGCGGTATTATCCACCACAATAATATATTGCGATATGAAAGCCAGATACCGATATTTATAAAAATATATTAAAAAAACCTCCTTCAGTGTAGAAACTACTAGAATAATACTTGTAACATTCCCAGGCCTTTCCAATCTAGTTAAATGAATACTTCATCAGCTTTCAAAGAGAGATAGAAAGAAAAGAGAGAGAGAGAAAAAACTTACCATTCACTGTCGCAATTTTAAATATCTTCCTTAAAAAATTAATAAATAATAAAGACTTTTGAATAAAATTATTAAGAAAGAAAATATATAAAACATTTCTACAGCGTGTATACAATGTTTACTGTGGTTCTCAAAGTCTCACATGGAATCTACACGGTCGATGTCACGATGATGAATGTTTAGTTCAAGATGCATATTACAAGTAAATGGCCATCTATGTTTTCACTTGATACAGTGTTGCTTTTATTATTCTTAAATGAGTTTCATGGCATTTTTAACACCTTCATGCTATACCATGTATATTAAAACAGTAGAAATAGGCCAGTGCAGTTCCTGATCGTATGTCATAATGTGAAATTAACATGTTAAGGTCGGGTTAGACTAAAACACCAAAATGCCCGAAAATAGGTCACAATTTCTTTCTAGCTTTAATTTTATTCTGTGACCACATACAATTTTCATAAAGTTTGTATTGTTATAATCATCAAGTTACATATTGTGCTATTTCAATAAAACACCCCCCCCCCCCCCAAAAAAAAACAAAGAAAACAAAAATGTAACAGATTATATACTCAAGAGAGTTCATAAGTTTTATTATTTTACCTGGTATTTGATTAAAAGTAAAGTGTTATTATGTCTGCAATTAATGTTTTATCCCCTCACCCCCTTTAAATCTTATAGATAAATTCAAATAGTCTTTGAGCTTGACAGCATTTTAAACTTTCTGCACAAATTTATTAATGATAATTAATCTGCAACATATCCCAATATATTGCAATATTCAACATAAAATCTTGCAATATCTTGCAATATGGTTTTCACTTGCAATACCCAACTCTAATGTATGACAGTTAGAACAGTTACTCCTTGAATTATGACAAAGAAGTCCAGTTCCAGTTAACATGATAATAGGTCAGTAATTATTCAGCACAATGTGAAGTAATCATACTCAGCCATGCCTCACCGCATGCATGAGAGAGGACAGTTAACCAAACAATGGAATTACATGTTTTGCTCTTAATTGTCCAAACGCAGCAATGTATAAACTATCTCAGCTCTGGATTGTTTTTTTAAACCTCCATAGTATGAATATTAATCAGTCAGGGGTGGTACTGAAATCAGTCATTTTTGAAAATGATGGATAATGGTCATTTCTTCTAAGTATATAATGTACATAATTTTCTGATTTTTGTAAAAATGACGTCTTTTCATCATATTTCCATTCTCAATTTTTTCCATCCCATTTACTACAGTAATTAGATATAGTACACTATCCTGCCATAGGCCCTTGTGTAGAGAAACATCTTGACAAGTAATTGAAACCAAAATAATTTAGTGCGCCCCGTAAAACTAATGAGATAATTAAGTGCGCCCAGACCTAACAATTTGATAAAAAATTAAAAACAGTCATTTTTAATATCAGAGATTTTTCTAAAATAAATTTCAAAATAGAAATGACTGTTTTTCATCATTTTACTAAAAAAAGATGAATTTCCATCATTATTCAAAATCAATTTAATGACTGAAAATCATCATTTTCAAAAATGACTGATTTCAGTACCACCCCTGACTGTTAATAGTCATTTAATTGCGTTTTTTTGTCTATTTTTAATAAAAAGGAAAAAATTGAAAAGTTGCATTGAAATAGCTAAATAAAGCTACCTGAGGTAGGTAAATAAAGCTACGTAGGTAATTCTACCTACGTAGTTAAATCTAGTGATTGTACTGGATCTGTTTATGCTGTACTTTGGTACATAACAATACAAATACCACTATTATTGTGCCTTGTGTTACTCTTAAAATGCAAGAAAACCCAGGAGCTTCTGGGCCTCCACCATTCAAAGTATGATATGACTAGTATTAACTAGGGCTAATTGTAACGGGAACCGTTACAGATGTTCCCCAAACGCTCCCCAACTCCCTTTTGGTGCCATACTCCCTTTAAGCTTCATTAAAAACGACAAACTCTATGCATTTTACACTTTAACAACGTTTCCCTGAAGTATACAGAGTAAATTCAAATTTTAGCATTTCACGCGTGCACATGTAAATGCATGTGCGTAATGACCATATTCTCTTGTCTACACTATCTATATACATTAATATAATAAAATAATAAAGCATTTAATCCAAAAGTATTAAAAAATACGTTTCATCAAGTGTATTTTTGATTTTATCCATCTCATGTGGATGCACATGCATGCATGTGCATGATGACCTTACCTTTTTGTAGGAATCCACTATGTCTATCTATGTTGTAAATCCCATCCTGTTTGGTTGAAAATCAAAGGAGTTATACCCATTTAAAGTTTAAGCCAATCAAATTGCAGCGCACGTGCATGCGCGTGTTTTCATGATACCTGCTATATATTATATTGTAGTATATCCTAATGCATGACTTGTTTAAAATTTCAAAGCATTTCGTCAAAAAACAAAAGAGATATTGAAATCTTTGTTTCAGCCAATCAGAGCGAAGCGCACGTGCATGCACGTGAGTTCGTGCTAATTTGACCATGTCATATTATTCTATTAATATATCCTTATAGAATGAGTTTCAAAGCATTTCAATAAAAAATGTAAAAGTTATGGCTATAATAAGTATATCAGTCATTTCACTCATTTCACGCGCACGCACGTGCATGCGTATGCGCGCAAAATGACCTTCGTTGTGCACACCTACACTACACACCTATTAACCCTAAAAAGGTTATAACTTAGTTGGGTGAACAGTTTCTGAGAACACTCGCGGACAAAAAAGTACCGGAGAACAAAGAAGAAAAAAAAGAATAATAATAATAATAATAATAATAATAATAATAATAAGAAACCGAGTAAAAACAATATGTTCCCAAACTCCGTTTGGGGAACATAATAATGCCGTATTTTGGTACATAACTGACGTGAATATCACTATTGTTGTGCCAGGTTTTACTCTTAAAATACATGAAAACCCTGGAGCTTTCAGGGGGTTTCGCTCTATGGGCCACCACCAGGGCTTTGCCCTGTACCCACAGGGGGTCTTAAGGCGGCCCCCAGACCCCCTTCCTGAATGAACTTATCCACGCCCCCCTTATCACAAATTCTGTATCCCCAATGATTTTGAAAAATACAAAAGAGGTTGTGCTGAAAAAAAATACCACATTAACTAAAAGAAACCTATTTGAGAATGGATATATGCCTTTTATCCCCAAAAATAATCCAAATGAAGACAAAATTAATGGTTTTTCTTGCTTCAAATTTACCTGCCATGTTTACATTCGGAACTCTCTGGATTGTTTGTAGTAAATGCAGTGAGTATGAATTATTGCCCTTGTTTATTTTGCTACATTACGAATATCCAGAACAAATTCTATCATTAAACCGCAGTGAGGGTTTTTAATTTAACTGTGAGATTCTATTTGAAATCAGTGCCTACCATGATTTGCATGTACGGGACCTATGTTTTTAAGGTTTTTCATATGACCGTATGCCAATAAATTTAGACCCTCTGACTTTCACTTCTAACATGTCTAATGCTGAGGGAAAGGTCACCCTGACTTTCACTTGTAACATATCTAATGCTGAGGGCTTGGTGAAGGAACAGTCACTACCAATGTTTACGTCAAAGGTTTGATGTGCTGCCGCGAATGAGAATCAAACCCAGGCCTCCCGATCATGAAGCGAACGCTCTACCACTAGGCTACCATGACTGGTGTTTTGAGATAGAGCAAAAAGCCTTACTTGAAAAGATGTACAAACTCAAAATTTCATATAATTTCTTAACTGCCTAACTGGCATGAGCATAAAGAATATCTCTATTTTCTTTTATTCATGGATGCTTTTCAAGTTTACCATTTATTACATTCCTGTCTGTATCATCTCAATGTTAAACTACTGAATGACAACAAATATCAAAAGCAAAATAAAATATTTTCTCATGTCTTCACTGTCAGACTTTTATTATATACAATTAAATTTTCTACAGTGTAGGGATTTTCATGTATAAGTTTTTCAATCTGTTTTTAGCTGATTGAGAGAGCTATTAAAAAAGGACCAGAGGATCCTAGAATGATGGAGTTAGCAAACCACTGGTGTCTGGTAAGCAGTTCCCAATGTCTGTTCAAGATCTTAAAATGTGTCAACTTGATTTCTGTACCTGTTTTACAAAATATATTTTTTTAAAAATGAATAAATACATGTTTATTTGTCTTTAAATTTAATGTCCAATAATGTCTGATATTTTCAGTCTATCAAAGTTAAAACTTAAATCCAACTATAGTTTGAAGTACATAGTACATTTTTCAGTTAATTTTATTTTACTTAAAGGTGTTTTCATATTTTAGGATTACTGTGATTAGGAATATATCTATAAACAATTTTAAAAAATATTTCAAACATATAATGTAGATTACTAAATTCTTGTGACAACTTTTTTTTCACTTTCACCAGATAGTCATTGACTCTTTATCATCGTGACAAAATTTTCACATTGTGGTAATTGATAAGCTTAAGAAATATTATTATCTGTAGGAAAGAAATTTTTGCAAGCACACTGTCTCAAGCAATTATGTGAAAATAAAGTTTTCATGAAGAATATGTGATTAACAGTAATCCTTTATTAAATGATAATAGTACAGTAAAATTTGTTTAGTACAAACACAGATATTGCAAATTCACAGATATAGAGAAGTTATCTTGGATCCCCAGCTATATATATTGAATGAAATCTCTGTACAGATATAATAAATTATGGATATAGCTGTGAAGTTAACATTGTATTTTAAAGTCATGGGGAATGAAATGCACTTTTACTGTAAACATCAATTCATTTTAAGCATGTTTTACTGTGTATAGTATTTTTAAAAAAAAAGAAAAAAGGTATAGGGGAATAGGTAAATCAGAAGTGACAAAGTCATTATAAAATTGTATTGCTATTCGTTATCTCTCTTGACTTTAAATGAATTAACTGAACAAATACTGGTATATTTCTCTTGATTTTCTCTCAAATTCTCTTTGTAGATATTTGAACTGAGTTAGATTAGAAGATGCCAAACCACTTGATGATTCATTTTTTTTTATTTTTGAAGGAAAAGGATTTAGTCCATATGCTATTTAAAGAATATGTACCCAGATTTAGCCAACCCATGTATCAAAACAAGCCGTATCTACAGCTGTATCGCATAGAACTGCAGCCCGGGAAGCAGCATCTGAAAAAGATGGCATGTTTGGAACTCAAAGGTTTGATTTCTAGCTTTTATTTATACTTGTAGGATATTACTGGGGTATATTGGTAAAAGACAATTGAAAGCATGAGATAAAAAAAAAAACAAAAAAAAACTTCTCTGTTTCAGAACTGCATGTAGGCCAAGCAGAGGATGAAATGCAATCTTGATAAGGGTCATCTGTTTATCCTTATAAATTCATGCTGGAAACTGAGCAGTTAGAAACATTGACTGGGTTGATGAATAACATAATTATAAGAATGTTCATCTAATTAAAAATCTGTGTTAAAGAGGAATGGTAAATTTTAGTAAACAGCCACAAATGGCTCACTACCTTTGTATGGAGATCTTGACAGAATACATGTATCATCAAACCATCAGTATAATCATGTTGACAGGAAGTAACAGTACATGTAAAACATGTCTGATTATTATGATGTGTATTCTAAAATCTGAAAAATAAAGGATTGTCTTCTCTGGAATGTTGTATGATCAACTTATGATAAAGAACCAGTGATTGCATGATATGTTTTACTGAAGATATATATTGCTGCAGTGTCTACAAATATTAAATTAAACAGCTTTCATGAATGGTTCAAATATGAGTCTGTGCATATAGATTAAAGCATGGAAAATGACATTTAAAATAGCTTATTTCTCCTTTGATCTATTATTTTTCAGGTAACCCTTGGCCAAAAGTAAAACCAGAACCCCCTAATACAGCAGGTCAGCTTCATAATGTGCTACTAAAGGCATTCTTTGACGACAAAAGAAAAAGTTCACATCTCCGTCCACATGCCAGTGCCCAGCCAAGTCTGGACCATGTTGTTGAAGGGGTAGAAAAATTAACTGTTAATCAAACACTTTCCAAAGAAAGGACTGATACAGTGAACATTGAAAATGACAAGGATTCTGAATCATCATCTGGTGATACTGAAGTGAAGATTGGTGAAATTTTGACAGAAGATAAAAAGGATTCAAGTCAGCCAAATACTGAAAATAAAATGTAAAACATTCGTAGACTTGTTGTCTTTTTCACCTCAGGCTCAGAAGCTTGTGAATATTTATGCCTGCTGACAATAGATTGAACAAAATTTGTTATAAATATCTTTTGCTTTGGAAAGAATTATGAAGAAAACTGTTTTTAAAAAAAGTATTTACCTTTTTTTTTATTGGTAATTAAGAAAACATTTGATCACTAATGTATATCAACATCTGCCATATCATACTTCCTTATTTCCCATGTTATATGCTATTTCTCTTGACAAATAGTCTTTTCTTTGTATATTTATTTTTTAACAAAAATTATGGTGTCATAATTGCACATAAATAAACACTTCTTAATCATGATATCACATTAAATATTTGCTAGAACACCTACAGTTTCCCCCACTAAAGAAGTAAATGTGTTATAAAATAGTAATGCCCAGACGCCCACCGAAATTTCCAAATTCATGCCAAGGATAAATAAGGTCAACTCATTAGTTGTAAGAAATTATGTTAGACATTTTTCTAATATTAAATAAAATGCCGACTCTATTAGGTTAAGCGACGTCTTTGACATTCAAAAGAACATTTTTTTTAATTAATTGAAAGAGGATACATGTACTCTACGATATAATGATATAAATTAGTAGCAATCTCACAAATCCATTTATATTTTCATTTAAATCAAATATAGAAATAACGAACAGTATTCAAGCTTAAAATCCATTAAAACAATACACATCGGAAGCTATTGCAAAACGGAACGCCAATAACTTGAGAGGCGGGATCAGATGCCTTGGAGGAGAAGCATCCCCTCACGATCGTTCACACCCGCTGAGGTTCTTTGTCAATCGGATAGGCGGAGATTCTGTAAAAAAAATTCTGTGTGTAAATAATGTTCTTATAATTGGCCTGAAAAATGCAAGTCAGGATTAGACCTAATGAAACATTGTTTTTGCTTATAGCGTCTTTTTATCGACCATATAATTTCCGAAATAATGACATCGATTGATACTGCTGACATTCTTGTTTCATTAACTTGTTAGTTAATGGCTTGCCTCCTTTAAAAATTGATTGTACGTAGACCATGCTTGCATGTTTCGAATTATCTGATAGACTTGGCAGATCTGTAGCGTAATTGTTTAAATTGATATATTTGTCTTTGACCATAACGCTACAGATCCCGTAATGCAAAAAAGGTGCAATTTACGGCGCAATATTTTTTGCGCACTTTTGGGGAGAATTTCTCCACTTTCTAGCATTGGTCAATCAACTATCTTTCACTCCCCAATTCTGGACATATTCTGTAGCCAATATGTATATTTTATCCACCTCCCAACCATTTATAGTTGTCTTTACAGGCAATAAACTCGCTAGAAGTGAATTTTCACCAGTCTAACAAATAATTTTAATCAAGCTAGTTTATCCTTTGTAGAGACGACTATAAAGGGTTGGGAGATGAATAAAATATACAGATTAGTTAAATAATGTGCCTAGAATTAGGTAGTGAAAGCTAGTTGCTTGACCAATGCTAGAAAGTGGAGAAATTCTCCCCAAAAATGCGCCAAAAAAAAAATGCGCCGTAATTTGCACCTTTTTTGCATTACGGGATCTGTAGCGTTATGGTCAAAGACAAATATATAAAACCATTACGCTACAGATCTGCAGCTAACTTAACCCATAAACAGGTGGTAAGAGTAGAAAATTTGAAATCATCAGATTTATCATACAGTTTGTTGTGAAGTTCCATTAACGTCTTTTCCGATTAATAAAATATCCAAATATAAGACAGTTGTGTAGGACTTTGTGGTGTCTTTTATTTCAAGTTCACTGGTGTGTCGAATTGACATACGAATGGAAGTAACTAAATTAATCATACGTCGCTGATACATCTAAATGTTGAGACGAAGGTAGAAAGAGTTTTCATTTCTAATGTAGAAGTTTTTGAATAAACTCTGTTTCATATCATGAATACAAAATTAGGTCTGCTAATACCGGGGATCAATTGGTTCCCAGATAATTGTTAAACCTGATCTCCAAAAGTAACATAGAAACTGTCTATTAGAAACTCGAGCACCTTTTTAATATCAACCTCAGAACACTTATGTGTACAATCAGAATGTTTTTATCAGCAAAATAATTTTGCAAATGACAATGTGATTTTTTAAAAAAGAAAACATAACTTTTCTGGACTGTATATAAAACTCTTCACTGAAATCCATTTTTTATTTTTAAAAATTTCTGTTTTTCTTTAAGAAAACCAATATTCATACTCGAATCAAAAACTTTCATTGGCAATTAAATGTTCTTCATTCAGTCATCTCACTGTAATACGTACACCACACCTCCTCCCTATTTATATTTGTCTCTGTTGTTCCTCAAGATGATTATTTAAAATGTTTGAATTTGTAATAAATAAAAGGGTTCGACGTCTTAAATATTTCTTTTAAATTGTCCATTTTTAAAAAAAAAGTTTAGCACAACTTATCCTATAGTTTCAAAGAGATTGCAAAAAAGTATTAATTTTCGGGTTCATGTTGCTGAATAATTTAAAAAGTCATTTTTAAACTATAGGTACAATGTAATATTCAAAGAAAAGTACAGTTCTCACCCTATTTACCAGTATTAAAAACACATAATAACCATAACTGGAGGATTAATTGCATGCTGCAACTTGTTAAACTTATTTATAAAATATACACTTCTCTCTATAATCCAAATACTTTGAATATAGTGGGACATATGAACTTCAAATCTAGAATATCAATGCATTTGTAGTTTTTGAAATAAGTTTTCCTTAAAGAAGGTTTTAATAACCTGTGTGAATTTTGTCACTCTACTCGTATTTTTCAACTTGGATAACAAGGATTGTATCTCAAAATTTGTCATCTCATGAGTGTCTGTGCATTAGTTCATTAAAAATGTAAATGATGCCAATCATCTTTTTTTGTTTTCTATCTAGTGCTAAAATTTTTTAATCAAACGTCTTAAATACATAGAAATTGTACATGTAAGGCCTATATATTTTTTTTATATGTTCGGGGCTGATGGACATTGAGAGTTGATGTTGTTCGATAATGCTATCTAAGACATTCAGGGTAATTAACACTCATTCCAACAAATTGATAATAAACAAATTGAATATTATTTCACCTGAATGGGAGTTAATATATTATTTGGTATCCCACCTACACTGTAGGTACACAAGTACATGTATTCAAAAAATGACAGGAATTGATATGCCATTTTCGTATGGATTTGAATGATTTGGAATAAACTGAATTCAGTCGATGTGTAACACTCATACACAAACCGGACATCTCTGAGAAAAAGAGGACACACTTTCACATGTATTTTTTTAAATTTTAATCTGTAACAAAGAAACTACAAAAAAAGTTTTTGCATGACTTTAATTTTCATTTAAATAACTATTCATTAGGAACGTCAGCGTAGAAATAAATGACACCAAAACGAAGAACAATAAGAAAACCCTGTCCATTATTTGAGCCATATTTTGCCATTCTTCTACCGACTCTGCTAATTTTCTCTTTTTGGTGAGAATATTTTCAATATTCCTGATAATTGATAATTGTTGTTTGACAACATTCATTATCTCAGACGATGTCGAGAAATCTACAGTGTGTTCGTTAGCACCAGCCTCCTCGACATCACGAGAGTCGTGATTACTCGTAATTTCTGTCAAGGTGCAATCGTGCAAATGATGAAACCCGTTGTGAAAAAAGTTGCCAATCTTTTCATGTCGTGAGGTATCTGTTTTATTTCCATTTGTATGCTCATATGCTTTATTGTCATGGTGCGTCACTTTTCGCTACAAATCAAAAAAAACATTTTATGAAAAAAAAAGCTAGATTTTCAATTTAAACATTCATCTCATTGCATAACAATTTTGAAGAAGAGGCATTTACAAGAAATATTAAATTGACAGCATATAATAAATTTCACCTCTTTGAAGGAATTCTTCTTTATTGGACTCTCAGATTCATTCCTTCTAATCTTCACACATACAATTTTTGCCATTTTACTGAAAATGAGCCTCAGGTATGGTGGAACCTTTTTACCATGAGCTCCCTTAAAGTGAAGATTCAACACAACAACAGTCATCAAACAAGACATGGACACCAATAGCATCGCACAAGTAAAATAGGCTCCTGTTAAAGAGAAAAAATAATTTAAATTAAAGCGCGATTAATGCAAAATTGAAATATTATTATTTTCATATTTTATATTAATTTTCATTAATTTGTTCATTCATTATATGACTGGTATAAGAAATCAATCAAACATTAAGATACTTTGTTTTTACCAATGTATGGAAATGTTTCTGAAGACGGAGGCATGGTTTCTGAAACGACCATGAGGAAGACAGCCAAGGATAACAACACGGTAATTTCTAACGAGACCTTTTCCCCGCTGTCTGGTGGCAGGATGAAGCCTAGACAGGCTACAGTAGAAATTAACACACAAGGGAACACTAAATTCATTAAGTAGAATAGAGGCTTCCGTCTCATTTTTAAATAAAACGTCACATCGGGGTATGGCTCCGGACAGCAATTATAGTACAGTACTTTTCGAACCATAGGTACTGACGTCACTTCCCATTCGACACTGTCTACAAATGAGGTCAGATCAGCCTCATTGCTTAAGCCTGATATGTTTAGCTCTAAGCCATGATGGGCCCATGATCCAAACTGGAGTCGACAAACTTGTTTGTCAAACGGAAAATAAGTGACATCAACTTTGCACAAGCTGTAAAAAAGAAATTAAGGAAATCACTTTTCAGGTTAAACGTAAAACCAATAGGTCAAGATGGACATCGCGGGTTTTTTAACTGTAGAGCAAGTCTAGCATGAAGCTTGGACTCAAATAGGATCATGATTTTTTCAATTTTGTTAATGGTCTAACTGTTCATTATTATTTCGAATTTTTTTTTACATTGGATAGGCTCCTAATATACATGATTAAAGATTAAAATGATTCTAAAGTCTTTAATGTATAATATTTGTTGATTTTAACTTCATGTGGTGGATGCATTAGATGAATTGGTACTTTAAAATTCAAAATGTTTTTACCCTCCACCAAATTAATGCTCGTACTTATAAATTATGTTGAAAATGGTTTCAGCCATTTCAAAAAAAAAAGGCAGAAAGTATTGAAACGGATAGCAGTTTGTCATTTAAATACGAAAAATTTTTTAAAGGTATTCTAAGAATATATAACTCGAAAATCTGTTAATGCATATAGGAAACTGTGAATGTTTTAGCAATACCTGGATATAATTGTAGGAAAGTTATACACCATGCTACCGTCTGAGTAGATCGCTGGCCGATAGTCTTTCAGTCCTAGAAGCTGACTATCCACACTGTTAGCGCACCAATAAAAGAAAATATTGATACTAAGGAAATCAGTATGAACAGTATAATATTCTGTTAAATATCAGAGAGGAAATGGTTGATAATTTGCATTTTATTTTTAAGCTGATGACTATCCCATAAAAAATGTGCTGTTACAAAATAAGGTATGTGATGAATATTTTTCAACTCCGTATTTTATTTCATAATAAAATTAGACTACCTTTCACATAAATTACTGAGGTATAATAAGATCAACGTAATAATAATAAAAAAATTCTAGAGGTTACTAGTATAGACATATTTGTTTCTGTTGTTAACAGCTACATGACTGGATCAAACTAAATAGCATGATCATATAGAAAGATCGTTTTTATATATGATACCGGCCCATAGATAATTATAAAGACATGAAAGTGTGGGGGTCGACATGTTCTTTTGGTTAGGTCTATCAAGTGATTGTATTACCGGGTAATTCTGTGTATTTATGTGTATCTGAGTGCTGAAATATCAAATAATCTTACCAATGAAAGTTCAATTCTGATTTTGATTTTATTGAAGTTCAAGATTGCTCCTTCAAAATTGACGTAATTCAGTTAATAGCTTGTCAATTATTAATTAAATCAGAAACGATTTTAATTAGAGTTGGCAAGTAATCAATTACCCTGAAATAATAATAATTAATATTTATTGAATGCTTACTTGTCATACAACGTAACATCGGGTACCCAAACTGTATTGTATGGCACGACTAAATGATCAATGCCGTACTTGGATGTATTCCATCTGAGATGACAGTCATTCCAACGCTGCAACATGAGATATAAGAAAACATTAACTTTATCATAAACTAAAGCTCCTGTTTTGTAAAAATGTTTTTGAAAGACGTTGTTTTGCTGAAATGTATTAGAGAATCTTTCTAAGTGTCTCCATAAAATGATATTAAAATACAAAAAAATGTTCCTAAACTGATATAAAACATTCTCCTTAATATGATATAAAGGTTAAAAAGGAATATTTGATATAGTTTTTTGCCCCACGTATAGGAAATACGAATTTTAGGATATACGTGTTGCACTCGCATGCCCTTTTCTGTGATTTTTGTTTGGAAATATCAGATGCTTTTGTAATACACAATGCTTAGTATTTTTCCGAGGTCAGGAGGAGGGCAATGTTTATTGAAAATTAACCAGGCAAATAATAATTCTTTATACAAATTTAGTCTCTTTACAGGCAATCAATTTAAGTGCTCAAAATGATTGATGCTGAGGCGAATTCTTGAACCCCGTGAGGATATGTTGAAAGAACATGCCGTACATGCATCTTAAATAGCGTGACTTAAAACAACAAAATTACCCGAAATTATTATTCTCCTTTTGTATGAAGTTAACTGTAGTTCCGTTCGACTTCCCATATACCCCCTGGTATTGAAAATGTTATAATTCTGTGTAATTCAAAGTTTATTTCAAATCATACAATCTGAGCTCAGATATTTGAAAATGGCTGAAAAATCTTAAAACTTTCATCTTTCCTTTACCGCACAAATAAACACAAATAATAATTAATTATAAGGATTCAGTTTTTATTGCTTACATTGAAAGAAAAAAATTTGTGCAATAACTGCAAAAATCGATCTTTTCATTGCAAACAGATTCTGTACAAGCCAATCTGATTTGATAATAAAAAAGAAACAAAAGTAAAGTGAAATTTTTCTTCCATTTTGAATTTATATAACTTTATAAATTCATTCTTCAACATATGCTCATGCACTTTTCCAACCTTACGTGCATGCTTAATTTTAATTATTCAATGGAACATATGGAGATAATGAACATTATTCCAGATCAAAAGTCCATAAAACAATACAAAATAGAAGCAGAGCAAACACGGACCTCCAAAACATCAGAGGTGGGTTCAGTTGCCATGGAGGAGTGAGCATTCCCTGCCGACCGGTCACACCCGCCGTGTGTTCCTTGTCATGATCGGGAAATAACGGGAAAATCCGTCGTCAATTCAGTGCTTAAATAATGGACTAACAATTAGTATGAAAAACGTCAGTCAGCATTTGACGCAATGATAAACTGTATTTGCTGACAAGGTCATTGTATCGACCATAGAACTTACAAAATGACGACTTTAAACGAGACTGCTGAAATTCTTGTTTCATCAACTTGTGTGTCAATAATTTACCTCGTTGTAAAAATAGTTCAAACGTACGTAGAGCATGCTCTTGCGTATCGAATAAACTGAGATATGTAAACTCCGTATGCTGGTGATGAAGGTACATGTATAGTTAAACTTAAAGTCACCACGTTTATCCTTGAGCTTGGTTGTTAGATAACCATTAGTTGACGTCTTTTTCAAGTAAAATACCTAAATATGAAACAGATGTGTCAGACTCTGTGGTTTGTATTATCTTAACTTTTAAAGATAAAATATTGATGTAACAAACAGTTATCAAGGTCAAAAGTCCATTAAACAAGCATTCCGATAGGACTGCATTAGCCCCTAGTAGACTATTGCACCAGACCCAATTGGTAAGTGCAATCTGGTTTTCCCATTAAAATTGAAAATTCCATCAAAATCTTTGAGACAGAACGAATTATATTTCATCAAGTTAACACCACATCACAAAAATAAGCTCATTATATCTGTAAGCTTTAAGAAAATAAAAGTGCGAAAAGAGACAGACTGACAGACAGACAGCTAGAAGGACGGAGGGACGGACGCAGAAGAAATAGTCCACCTGGTTTTACCGGTATGGGACACAATACAAATCGAGAGCAAACAAAACACGGAACTCTAAAAAATCAGAAGTTTGATCAGATGACAAGAAAATTTTAATGTGGGCATACCTGCCGACCTGTCACACCTGCCGTGTGTTCCTTTCCATGATCGACAGAACGGAAAATTCATTGTGTAAATAATGGTCTTACAATTGATATGAAAAACCTCAGTCAGCAGCCAACTTAATGATATATGGTTTTTGCTGCTAAGGTAATTTTATCGACCATAGACTGATTGATTGGATGTTATTTTACGTCCCATTCGAGTATTTGACTCAAAAAGAGACGTCACCATTTATAAGACTTAGTGAGGGGCTTTCAAATTTAAATGAAAATTTTGATTTCTAAACCAGTTTCCGAACGTTTTTTAAAAAAGCAAACACTTAGACATTTGAAATTGGAAAATTATTTTTCTTCCCCAAAGGATTATATGAGAAAAACTACCACTGGTATCTTGCAGCCATTGAGCATGTTTATAAATACTTCAATGACAAACTCTTAGAAAAAATTATCTATTATTAAGGAACGTCTCGTCTGTCCTTAAATGAAAATTTTGGGACTGAACTTGGCATTCAAGGCCATTGAGCAGTAAGGTATCTTTATCGCGCCAAAGCCTGCACTTACACAGAGCTAGCCACGGTTTTAAGGTCTTATCTGAAGGACCCACAACTTTCACTTCAAAGTGCAGAGCGCTTGGAAAAGGAACAGTTGTAACCCTTTATTTTTTATCGACTTAGGTCAGTTGCGGTCGAGGTTTGAACTTACGACTCCCGATCACGGAGAAATTTTCTACCAACTACCGCGACGTTTCAAACATACTAGCAGTTGCGAAATGGCGACTTTAAACGAGGTTGTTGATATTCTTGTTTTTATTGACTTGTTTGTAAATAGCTTGTTTCGTTTTAAAAATTGTTCGTATGTACGTAGAACATTCTCTTGCGTATCGTATCAACTGACAGACGTAAATCTTATATACAAGTTATAAGGGGTAGATTGTAACATTACATGTAGTAAGGAAAGTTGACGATAGAAAATTGAAATCAACTCGTTTATCATAATAAAAATAATGTACATTTATATAAAATTTCGAATAAGTATAATCCAGTATGTCGATAGAGTAAATGCATACTTCCCTTAAATTTAAGAAAAGTCTAAAGAAATGAATACTGAAAACCTTTACTGAGACATTATAATTATGGATAAGAACAGTAAGGTTTATTATTAGGTCAAGTCAAACGGAAAAAATATGAACTGCCTTTTTTTTTATTTAAAAAAAAAAAATGAAGAAAATCAGATATAAATTCACCTCAACTAAGATTCACTCATATACATTGTTTCATTAACAATAAAATAAAATTAAAATAATTCAAAATTGATTTGAGAAAATAATCTTGAAATTGACTATTTTTAAGTAGATTTATTTCAATTATCTCTTCATTGTTTGAAATTGAAAAAAAAAAAATCAAATATGTATTTTCCGTCATGAATGATTGAAATGGTGCCATGCTGTGATCATTTCAAACTATGACGACTTCAAAATAAACAATATAATCAATCAATAGAAAATTAATTAAATGATTGTTTGCTTAATATTGGTTGGGTTGTTTAAGAACAGATATTCTTTTATAACGAACAGATGTAAAAAGAACATAAGATGTTGCAATATAGTAATTAAACATCCCCGTGAAAATATCATTTTTGTTGAAAAAATGAAAAAAAAAAAGAAGTACAAGAAACTGAACTAGTTCACATATTTTTTTTGTATTGATCAAGTCTTAACATTTTTTTACTTTCATTATGTATTCAAACTTCAAGTACATATTGTACTCTAAACTGTAGACAACAAATACAACACTGCATCAGAGCCCTATATAGTCAATCGATTTCCATTTAGTTGTAAGAAACGCATAAATAATGTAGGAAATCTTTCAAACAATGTGTCCGGGTAGGATAGGATTTTTCAACAATTAACCTAGACATAGGAGCAGTGTTTGACAACGATGGACTCTACATCTATCCTCAAACTGTTGCTTCCAAACTCTTCAATTATGAATAAATCTTTCAGTCCCTAAATATTAAAGATCCAAAGCCAAATCCTCATAGGTGTTCTTCCTCTTCCTTTTCTTTTAATTTCAGTCCCGCTTGGCATGTCAATACCCAAGTAGTTAATTTAGTTGAAAACGAACCATAAAAGCAATCATTTTAAAAGGCTTTAAATACTGGGAACTCTGATCTTTAAATTGACTGAAGAATTTCATCTCTATTATAAATTCTGGGGATGATGATTCCAGACATTAAACTACATACGAATGGAAAGACTTTAACATTTTGTCATATTTTGTATATATTAACAAAAAATATATTGTAAAGTGTAAACAATATATACTAGTAATTCAATATTCCAGCATCTTTTAATATCACCTTCGGAGTACTTGTATATATGTATCAGATACTTCAATATTGTTTACAATATATTCTTAAGAAGACGTTGATACTTTGTCAGAATGGATTAAATGTATCAGATTCATTTTACAATCACGTAAAAAAGATTGAGGGACAATATGAAAAACATCTATCCTTCTGTATTCAATAATCCAGAAGTGAATTTTAATAATTCAGTTTTAATATTTTTAATATTCAAAAGATCCTAAATGAATTAGAACTACCACAAACAAAGATACATAGCGGGTTCCAGTATATGTTCGACCAAGCCTCTTTCTTTACTCCTCAATAAGATATTAAAAGTAGTGAATGAAAAACTTCTAGAGTATGTGTGCAACAATTTATTCAAGAAGTAATGTAAATCAGATGTGGATACTTAAAAATTCCAAGGAACTTTTGGACAATTTAAAATCACAAGATTTCACCAAAATCAACAGCTTAAAAACTTACGACTTTTCAACTTTATACACAACCATTCCCTACAATAGCCTTTGATATCATTGACAGCTGTTTTTACAATAAAAATTGAACTCGTAAATTTATGTACTTTGTCATTGGTCATTTTCAAATTTATTTTGTTA